GTGATCCTTCCACCTCAGTCTTCCAAGTAGCTGGAACTACAGGCATGCACCACCATGCCCAGCTAATTTTTTTATTTATTGTAGAGACAAGGTCTGGCCAAGTTGTCCAGGCTGGTCTTGAACCCCTGGACTCAGACAATCCTCTCACCTCTGCCTCCCAAAGTACTGGGGTTACAGGCGTGAGCCACCATGCCTGGTTTATTTTAGTCTTTTGATTGGCAAAAGCTTAAGTTTTATTAGGCTTCCTGAAACACTGAGGGTTTCTAAAGAATCTCGAGGACTACTGGAATCCATTCAGTCCTAAGAGTGGCAAAAATTCTTTTTCTAACAAAGGTGGTTTTTTCCCAACCACTAGAGGACAGATCTACTTACTCATTAGTTCAGAGACTATAACTAATAATTATTAATACTAAAAATATAATATATAATTTAAGAATCAATGCTAATATATGTACAGATAGAACCAGGAAGGATCAGATTCTGTTTAGGATATTCATTTCTGCCTGCTTCTAGGCTCAGTGTAAAATGCCTTGGTCTCATTGTTTTTTCCTTTTCAAATATAATCAACCTGGCTGGGAAACCAGTCTGAAAGAAAGCTCAGCAGGGATCTCAGATAAAGCAGAAAATTTCTGGGTTAGAAAGGAATGAACAAAGCACTTAAGAATAGAAAGAATAGATGTGTGGCGCATTTTTATTTCAAAATCACCACTGAAAGACAGGTTTGGCTTCTGTTTGTTTGTAAGTTAGTGGGCTTGTTCACTGGTGCTAAATCAAACAGTTTTATCATTTGAGGATCCTGTCACCCCACAAGGCATTACTGAATGCAGTGAAGCCTGACTTTGGATTCTGGCTTGGTACCTATTTCCTATCCTCCCAGGCCCTTAGCTCTTTCTTCCTGAGAAATTTTCAGTCTGCAAGTATCTGAATAAAAAGTACTTATGGGTCATAGCAACACTGTCAACAATTTCACCAGATTACTGCAATTTAAAGCTTGAAAAATCACATTTCAGTTTAAATCACACAGGCCCCACCAATCTGCATAAATGATATTGTGATAAACTCAGAGGCTTAGAATTTCATAAAAATTATTTTAAAATATTTTCTAACAATCTGAAACTGATTTGCTGAAACAGCAGCTTTTTCTAAAATGCCTTGTGCTAAGCCTGCAATGAAGCTTTCATTCTTAGCAATTATCTTTCAAGAAACATTTTAACAGCTTACTCCTCCTTCATATGAATCATCCAAGCCACCCAGGTGAAAGAATAGCTTTTATAAATTCAAAACAGTGCCTAGATCAGTGGTTCTCAGTCCTGACTGCACATTAAAATCATCTAGGTAGGATTTTTAAAAATAACTATGCCTGGCTCTTTCTGATTAATTGGTCTGGGATGGGAACGTGGCATGGTACATCTTAAAAGCTCCCCAGACGATTCTAAGGTGTAGACAAGATTAAGAACCACTAGTCTACCACAAGAATGGCTTGAACCCGGTTTCCATCAAAACCTATTTCTTTTTAGGAGCTTAATCTGAACTAACGGCTGTAAAGCACACTCTCTTCAGTCCAAGGACCACTAATGGGGTGTGGGAAGATAAATGGGAAGATAAAATAAAATGTCCCACTCCCATAATCCTTTTCACTAAAGCTACATTCAACTGGTTTTTGTTTTTGTTTTTATTACCAACCACAGTAAGAAGCACTGGCCTAAAGTTTTTGCTGTCAGGATAGATTCTTCCAAGTCCTATTTAGGCTCTACACCACTGAAATGGTCCAGAAATTCCAATATTTCCACACCTAGACTAATCTCCCACACTACCTCCTATGTCTTGGACAGCCCAGAATGTTTTGACCTATCCCATCTTTTATTTCCTGGTTTTGAAAAATATATTATCACCAGATCTACACGTAGTGTCAACACCTTCCTCTTTTTCTGTCTAACCTTTAGAAGGCCACAGGCCCTTATCACCATTGCATCTTCTCAGGTCACTTCAGGCCCCTCTAATGTTTTTTCCTTACAGATATTAGCAGTCTCCACTATTTTCTTGGCATCTGTTGTGCTGCCATTTAATCTCTCATTCACCTTGGAGACAAGATGGATGGATGGAGGGAGGATGGATGATGATGGAGGATGGATGATAATGGATGATGGATGGATACATGGATACACACACACACACACACACGTAATACAGTTTTCAGAACAAAGGCTCACAGTATGTTTGGTTTTCCACTATCAAGTTTTAATTCTCTGGACCTCTTGTCCTCCCAAACCTATAACTCTACTTTTTTTCCTTGAGTTGCAGTCTCTGTCACCCAGGCTAGAGTGCAGGGGCACGCTCATGGTCACCGCAACCTCAACCTACGAGGCTCAGGCAATCCCTTTGCCTCAATCGTCCAAGTAGCTGGAGCTACAGGCACACGCTACCATGACAGGCTAATTTTTCGATTTATGTAGAGATGAGGTCTCACCAAGTTGCCCAGGCTGGTCTCGAACCCACTGGCTCGGGCAATCCTCTCACCTCGGCCTCCCAGAGTGCTGGGATTATAGGCATGAACCACCACGCAAGGCCTAAAGCTCCCTTTAATCTGACTAGTGCATCCATCATCTTATCAAGCGCTCTCAGATACTTTTACTGCCTTTTGAATTTTGGCATTTTGCAGCACCAGCTAAACAAAAACAGACACAAAATTCCTGTCTTTGGTGACAGCTTGTGGCTGTCCTGCCTATCTCCTTTATAATTCTTCTCTTCCCTCCAAACCTATACTTTTGTACCAAAACAACTTCCAACTTCTACCGACAAGGCTTTTTCCCAGAAAGCCCTCCCCCCTACCCCGTCAGTCCCACTCCCTCAAAGGCCCATTTCCACGCGCTCCTACTCTTTCCTAAGATGGCCGCCACAAAGTCAAGGAAGGATGTGCAAGGTCCACCTGCAAGGCCACTTCCGGGGGCCAGAGAAGGAAAACGGCCCCATCTGGGGGTGCCCCAAGGTGGGGATCCTCACGCGGAAGGTAAAGGACCTAGGAAGGAGAGCCCTAGGGGCCCACAACGGAGGTCTCAGCCACGCCGACGACAAAGGCTAGCCCCCGAGACTACCGTCACAGGAAGTGGGCTCGTCACAGGAAGCGAGGCCCGCCCCCCGGCGTGGCAGGCGCCGGAAGTGGGCGTTGCTGGGCGCTGTTGTGCAAGACAAGGCACCTGTGAGGAGAGCGTGTGTCAACGAGGTAGGAAAGACTTCTGGCCCAGGGCTCGGCGCCTCCAGACAAGTCTCCTTTAGCGTATTAGTGTACTGGGATGCCTTCGCCGTGTAGTGCCTTCCTGTCCCTTTCCCGCCCGCCGCCTTTGACCTTGCAGGCGCTCATCCACCTGTTTTGGCGGGACCAGGCCGCTCCTTCGTCCCCTTGAGGGCCATTCTCTCTTTCTAAGTTAACCACCTTCCCTTATGTAGCCTGGTTGCTTAGAGCTACTCTGTGCCTTTTTGTTTAAGGGAAGAAAAGCGATTCTTTCTTATTTTAGGAGTTTAGCCAGTGGTCTCCGATGACACCAGCCCCCACCTTTGACCCCACCTTCCTTCGTCCATTTCTCCGCCCTCTGGCGATGGGGAAAGGTCGAAGACCCATTGGCTAACGCTGAAGGCATTTAACCGGACCCCGAGGGCCAATGCTGCGAATTCCGCTGCCCTCCCTCTCCTGTAATTTCTCTTTTTGGCCCGCAAAGAATTGGCTGGCTTCCTACAGGCTGCTGGATCTGGCGCTCATCACTTAAAATCGAGAAACAGTACGTGGTTCTTCCTAACAGACCTCTTATTTTAAATGAAAAAGTGCGAAGTAACTATAAGTGAGACGTATCCAAAAAGACGGTTAGGATGTCTTACTCCAAAAATCAACTTGAAAAATATGTTTTAAGAGAGCTTCGCTGATGATCGTCATTGAGAAATGGGCTCTGCCGCCATAAAAAAGAAAAAGAAGAAAAAAAACCCGGGTTCTAGCTGATTGCTTGTATTTCTTGCCGTAGGTTCCAATGTTGCTTATGTCATAGAAGGGCTACTCCTTCTATGGTGTAGGTCAAGGGTGTAGAATTGTACGAGGGGCCAGCAGAGAGCCTGCTCCAGAGACGGGAGCCGCGTTTCAGAAGTCTCCCATGGGGGTGGCTTTATGTTGATTTCGTTTTCCCCATAATAGTAAGTTTATTTAGTCACGGTGTTCAATAGAGGAGCTCTCCAGCAGAAGAGGATTCAAGCTAGGAAACTATTGCTCTTTTCATCTTTCACATTTCTGTTACAGACTTGTTCTCTTATGACTGTGGCATCGGTCCTACAGGCAGTCCTTAAGTCCTAACATGCAGAAGCTTTCCCTCAGTGCACAGAGGGAACGGTTACTAACTGGGGAAGCTTAAATCAAAAGTGTTGCCAGTTAGCAGTGGAGATTGGGGGAGAGACGTGAAAAAGGGAGAATGTCAGTGCCTTCCTTCCATGAGAATGCTAAATGAGAGTGTCTCTGGGCATACTGGAAGGGTTAAGTGCATGCCGTCTGACATAGGCTTCCAGTGTCCCAGATCCCAGAGGAGCAAGACAGTAGCCTGCCTACCCTGTATTTTTAAGAACTTGAGAGGGAAAAAAAAAATGTGGTACATATACACAATGGAATATTACGCAGCCATAAAGAAAGACAAACATATGAACTTTTCAGCAACTTGGATGGATTTAGAGTCGATCATACTCAGTGATCTATCACAGAAACAAAGAACAGAGTACCATATGTTCTCACTCATAAGCGGACCTTGAACAATTATAATACTATAAGAAAGTGATTGGCAGGGAAACAGGGAAGGAGGGGGTGGGATTGGCAGTTGAGGGAAACTGCTAGGGGAGAGAGGGGCATACATCATCAACAAGGGTACCTGCATAATCAACGTTTGTATACCTAACCCTGAATTGTACCCCACATCTTTATAATAAAATAAATAAAGGTGGCTTAAAACGAAAAATAAAATTAAAATAGCACCCTTTTAAATCCCCCCCAAAAAAAGAACTTGAGAATTTTATAATAATACCCTATTTCTGTGTTTATGTATAAGCTTAAATAAAAGTACAGTATTCCTGTGGTCTTGAATTGCCTCTTCTAACATTAAGTGGCATCAAACCCTATTGGAAGGTAAGCAGTGACAGGCACTTAAGGAATAACACCTAAAGTAGATTGACATTTTGTCACCTAAATACAGTTTGGATTTGAACTGTAGTAATCCTAACTTGATTTTTCTTAGCCATTGATAGGCCCGAGAATTTATTCCAAGAATGTGAATGGGCTATGATGTTAAAATGCTTCAAAGATGAATGTTTTAAAGCAGAGAAATGTTTGGGGGTGGTGGGGGAGTAGGGGTTTCTTATATTGAAGTTGTATAGCTTCATTTCTAGAAGTGACTCCACTTCTTAGAGCTACTTTTTGGTGTGTTTTCTTTTTGATTCCCTGAACCACTTTTTTTTTTTCTAGCACTTGGATTCAGCTTCATTTCCGGCATGGAAGAAACTTACAGTACGTACTTCTTGTTGCTTTTTAAAAATAACTTATATACACAAGTTTTATGTCTGACAAGACTTGCAGTCTGCTAGGAAATACTCAGATTTTTCCCCAGACTGCTGAAGAGGAAGGATCTGTATGGTATTAAGGAAGAGAAGTGCCCAAATTTGAAATATGACACTTGAAATTTAAGTTTAAAAAAAAGGTCTGAGAAGTCATAGAGCTTTGGAAAGACTGCAGTTAGGACAACTTTGTTAAACTATATATTTATTAAATGAGGCATTTTACCTCCTCAGGACTTTAACTTCTCCCTGTAAGTATGACACAGGAATGGTAATCTCTGCTTCCTTTCTATTTTGAGGGTAATATGGTATATGTAGTAACATTGGTGTACATTGAGTTTTTAGAATAAGAAAACCTAGGAAGAGTTCTTATTTCTCAAGTGATCCAGGAACCTTGGGTGGCCAAAGACATCAAAGGGGGAGCCAGCACCTAGAATCGTACAAGTATAGTACCAAAGGGAACCCAAAAAGTCATTTAACTTATTACAATAGAGAAAAATAGAGCTTAGATTATTTGATTTGCTCAAGGTTACATATTTAGTTGGGACAGAATCTTCTATATTGTTTGTACCTGATACCCTACTTCATACCACAGGCACTATGATTTATAAGCTCTGACCAAATTTGAGGAACATCTGAATTAATGCCTGTGGATAAAACTTGTCAACAGGACCTACTTTGTTTCCTACTTTGCTGTCTTGTTCAGAATCTCATAATAAGTTCCAACTAAAAGGATATTTCAGCCACATTCTTTCTTCTAGAAAGAGTCCAGTGGGATCTTTATCTCCAAAATACAGTAACTATATAGAAATATCAAATATGCAGAACACTGGTTCTCAAACTTTAGCATGCAGCAGAATCACTTATTGGGCTGGTTACTGATTCAAAAGGTCTGGGGTCTGAGAATTTTCATTTCTAACATGTTTCTAGGTGATGTTGATGCTGGTGATCTGAGGACCACACTTTGAGAGTTTCTAATCCTCTTTACGGCTTCCCTGCTCCTTAGTTTTACTTAAAATGAAAAATGTGGCCGGGTGTGGTGGCTCAAGCTTATAATCCCAGCACTTTGGGAAGGCGAAGTAAAAGGATTGCCTGAGCCCACGGGGTTCGAGACCAGCCCCGGCAGTTTGATAAGACCTTCTCTCTACTACAAATCAAAAAAAATTAGCCAGACATGGTGGCGCAAGCCTGTAATTCCAGCTGCTTTGGAAGGCTGAGGCGGAAGGATCACCTGAGCCCAGCCGGTCAAGGTTGCGATGACCAAGAGTGTGCCAGTGCACTCCAGCCTGGGCGATAAAGTGAGACTCCAACTCAAAAAAAAAAAAAAGAAAAGAAAAATGTGTGCATGATATATATAGGTATATGCATATATATATATATACTCCTGAAAGTTTACCATATTAAATTAGAAAGCAGCATCTCATTCTTTCAGTTCTTTTATTGTTTATTTTCTGTGAGGATTTTCTTAGTTACTTTTTTCAGCCACAGTTTTTTCTTAAAAGCCACCAGGGATGGTGACTCACACCTGTAATCCCAGTACTTTGGGAGTTTGAGCCCAGGAGTTCAAGACTAGCTGAGGCAACATTGGAAGACCCTGACTCTACCAAAAAAGAAAAAAAAAATTAGTCGGTCATGATGGCACATGCCTATAGTCCAAGCTACTCAGGAAGCTAAGGCAGAAGGATCACCTGGGCCCAGGAAGTCAAGGTTGTGGTGAGCCATGATTGTACCACTGCACTCCAGCCTGGGAACAGTGGAACCAACTCAAAAAAAAAAAAAAGCCCTGGGAGCATGTTACAGATGCACAATCTCAGATCTCATCTCCGGCCTACTAAATTAGAATCTGCATTTTAACACAATTTCTAAGTGATTTAACTTGGGGAGTTTGTGTTAAAGTTTAAAAAACTGCTGCCTGCCGGGCGTGGTGGCTTACACCTGTAATCCTAGCACTTTTTGAGATGAAGGCAAGAGGATTGCCCAAGCCCATGGGTTTGAGACCAGCCTGGGCAACTTGGCAGGACCTCGTCTCTACAGTAAATCAAAAAATTAGCCAGGTGTGGTGGCGTACACCTGTAGTTCCAGCTACTTGGAAGGCTGAGGTGGAAGGATCACCTGAGCCCAGCAGGTCGAGGTGGCAATGGCCATGAGCATGCTGCTGCACCCTAGCCTAGGTGACAGAGTGGTGAGACTCCTACTCAAAAAAAAGGAAACTGCTGTCTTAGAATATATTTGACCTCTTTCCCAAATTGACCTTGAACTTCAACCTTAATCTGGTAGATTTCTGAAGATCTCCATCTTCTCTCTTTGAACTATACCTGTTAGCCAATGATATTTTGTAAGGCTTAGTTCCTTATTTCCATGAAGTTTTCTTCATTTCTCACCATGGCTTCTGGGCCCTATACGAATTTGAGGAACAACTGAGTCTGTGCTTTTGGAGGAAGTTTGTCAACAAGACCTACTTTGTTTTCCAAAATAAATTATATTCCCAGGAAGCCAGACAAAATTTCTTAGAGTAGTTTGATATTATTTGTTACAAGTTTAAGTGCACATATACTTCAATGCAGCACTCTTAGGTACCTGTCCAAGAGAAATACTCATACAGTGCACAAAGTAGTTACTAGATTGTTAGTCATAGCACTTTACATAAGAGTAAAAAACTGGAAACAACCTAAATATCCCTCAGTAAGGGAACCAATTAAGAATTTGGTACAAGGCCAGGCGCAGTGGCTCAAGCCTATAATCCCAGCACTTTGGGAGGCCAAGGTGAAAGGATTGCCTGAGACCACGGGTTCGAGAACAGCCTGGGCAACTTCTCAAGACCTCATCTCTTCAATAAATCAAAAAAATTATCTGGGTGCAGTAGCAGGCGCTTGTAGTTCCAGCTACTTGGAAGGCTGGGGCGGAAGGATCGCCTGAGCCCAGCGGCTTGACCCTGGGGTGGCCATGAACTTGCCACTGCACTCCAGCCTGGGCAACAGAGAAAGACTCCAGCTCAAAAAAAACAAGCCGGGCTGGTGGCTCAGCCTGTAATCCCGCACCTTTGGGAGGCTGAGGTGAGTAGATTGCCTGAGCCCGTGGGTTCGAGACCCACCTGGGCAGCAAGTCCTCATCTCTACAATAAATCAAAAAATCAGCCGGGCATGGTAGTGCGCGCCTGTAATTCTGGCTACTCGGAAGGCTGAGGAGGAAGGATCGCCGAGGAGGAAGGAGCAGGAGGAAGGATCGCTGAGGAGGAAGGAGCAGGTCGAGGCTGCGGTGGGCAGGAGCGGCCACTGCACTCCAGTCTGGGCGACAGAGTGAAACTCCAACTCAAAAAAAAAAAGCAAATTGCATGATAGAAGATAGAGTAGATTCTGTTACATGTCATAACATAGATGAAAGTTGGGGACATTATGCTAAGTAAAATAAGCCAGTCACAAAAAGACAAATACCCTGTGATTTCATGTACATGATATATCTAAAATAGCCAAACTCCTAAAAACAAAAAGTAGAGTGATGGTTGCCAGGAGCTGGGGGGAGTAAGGAATGAAGAGTTGATGTTTATTGGGCATAGAGTTTAAGTTTTAGCAAAACAAAAAACTTCCGGGGATTAGTTGCACAACAGTGTGAGTATACTTAACACTACTGAACTGTATACTTTAAAATGATTAAAATGGGGACAGGCATGGTGGCTCATGCGTATAATCCCAACACTTTGGGAGGTGGAGGCAAGAGGATTACCTGAACTCAGGGGTTCGAGACCAGCCTGAGCAACATGGCGAGACCTCGTCTCTACAATAAATCAAAAAATCAGCTGGACGTGGTGACGCATGCCTGTGGTTCCAGCTACTTGGAAGGCTGAAACGGAAAGATCACCGGAGCCCAGCAGGTCGAGCTGCAGTAGCCATGAGCATACCACTGCACTCTAGTCTGGGCAATAAAGTGAGACTCTGACTCAAAAAAAAAGATTAAAATAATAAACTTACATGTACTTTACCACAAATTAAAAATTTTAGATTAAAAAAATTTTTTTAATCTAGAAAACCAGATTAAAACTGACCTGAGCTGCTGGAGACCATGATGTAAAGCGTTGATAGGAAGATCTCATTATCACCTCTGACATAGGCCACTATCTGGGCAGTATCACGTGTGTGAATCATAAGGTACCATCCTGTCTGTCAGCAGCTGACATAGCCTAACATTTGCTAGTGATGGAATGGAGTTAAATGAAGGGAAGCTAATAAGAATTTCATCCGTAAACGCTCCCTTGGTGTCCTGAAGCTTCAGAAATATGAAAAGATTTCTGGTCAAGAAGAGCCTGGTTGGCATAATAAGCCTGCCTGTCCTTTAAGACTTTTTCTTCCTATTCATTCTGTCCTTCAAATCACCTTTCTGGCTCATTTGCATCACGATCATGGTCAGCAATTTATTCCATGTTTACCACTCTTCCAGCGAAACTGTCTGTTTCAATTCCCCACTGGCTTCTGATTTTCATAGCAGTCTCCTGGTTTATAAGCATCTTATCAAATGTGAATTGTTTATCTTATTTCACTTTTATCATTGCCTTCAGGAGTGGCAAGAGTATTTTATTAGGTTGCCTCTTGTCCTGATGATACACTCTGAATGTGCTTAACCATTTAATTTCTCTTTCTTAACCAGGTTTGTTAAAATTGGGGGCTTGGCTTGAGCATTCTGAATAGCCTAAGGGTTTTAAATAGCATTGTATAGGTTAGGGGCTTTCTTTCACACAGCATTTCCATATGTCTGCAGTTGTCTTACCCTCAGGAGGTTCTGTTTTTGCAGATTGTCCTATTTTTTTAGCTGGCAATTTGGTAGTCACCAGAGTAAAGAATTCTCTATTTATTTCCCTCACCTATGTTCCAAAATCTGATATCGGTTTCATTTGAGAGATAACTAGAATAACCAAGATTAGGAACTACTTGAGAAAATTAAAGCAGACAGAGGAAAAAGAAATCTGTCCACTAATATTTCTCAAGTTTCCATAGAACATATTACTGATATAGAGCAGTGCTTACCAACTTTTTGCATGTTATAAGGTACCAGTAATAGACAAAGATGCTGGTGAGGGGTATTAACTACTCTCAACTTGCAGGTCGTTGGGGTTGAAGGTGCAGTGAGCCCCCAGATTGATACACTGGCACACCAGCAATCCATTTCAACTGTAGCATACTGATTGGGAAGCTCTGGTTAGACCAGCTAGAGAATAGGAATAACCCTGAATTGGCACTTTTAAAAATGAAAACGAAGATGTAATTTTGTTTGACTTTTTGTTTTATAGTAAGAGAAAACAATATTTATGTTCAAATATTAATTGATTACCCATGATTACTGATTCTACTGGACTTACTAAGATTCAGTGATATTTTAAATGTTTAGTCATCCTTTTTGAAGAAAACTTAACCATGATCGTACCACTGCACTCCAGCCTGGGTGACAGACTGAGTTCAAGTTTTCTTTAGATTGTCTTATTCTATTATTACAGGTTCTCTTGAAAAATCCAGTATGCCTGGAATTCTGTCATTTTATAAATGCCTTTTACAGTTTTACTTACTGTATTTTTCTCTCTCGCAGTTGACTCCCTGGACCCTGAAAAGCTGTTACAATGCCCCTATGATAAAAACCACCAGATCAGGGCCTGCAGGTTTCCTTATCATCTTATCAAGTGCAGAAAGGTAGGGTATTGTTTTCATAATTTGCCCTCTGATGCCCTCCTGAGTTATTTTAAAAGACCATATTTTATAAACATCAAATAATTTTATCATAATTGCTTTAGTTGAATGCCAGAATTGTTTTGGGAATCTTCCTCTGTGTTAAAAACCAGCATTTATAGAAAGGTATTTGTTTATTCCTTAGTTGCATAAATTTTTTCTTGTGTTGGTTTTCTTCCCTGTAACAACGAGTGACGAAGCAACATTTATGAACAGCATCTCTGAAGTCTTCTCACCCTTTGTAAAGACTAATTTTTGCTAGCAATAGGAAATCCCTCTTACCTTGTATATTTGATATGTTCTTTGGCCTGATATGGGTCGAGCGTTGTAATGCGCTTCTTTCTGGGTTGTGTGTGTGTGTGTGTGTGTGTGTGTGTGTGTGTGTGTGTGTGTAGGAATTTTAAAGAGATTGAACAGTCAGAAGTTAGCCGGTAACTGTTACAGCCAGGCGCAGTGGTTCGTGCCTATAATCTCAGCACTTTGGGAGGTCAAGGTGAAGTGCCTGAGCCCATGAGTTCAAGACCAGCCTGAGCAACTTCACGAGACCTCATCTCTACAATAAATCAAAAAAGTACCTGGGCGTGATGGTGCGTGCCTGTAGTTCCAGCTACTTGGAAGGCTGAGGTGGAAAGATTACCTGAGCCCAGCAGGTTGAGGCTGCGGTGGCCGTGAGCGTGCCACTGCACTCCAGCCACTCAAAGAAAAAAAAAACTTTTTGTCCAAGTTTCAACAATAAGCATCTTTTTAAAAAAGAAATTGGAGCTGGGCTCAGTGGCTCAGCCTCTAATCCCGTGCTTTGGGAGGCTGAGGTAAGTGGATTGCCTGAGACCGCGGGTTTGAGACCCGCCTGGGCAACTTGGCGAGACCTCATCTCTACAATAAATCAAAAAATTAGCCGGGCATGGTAGGATGCGCCTGTAGTTCCAGCTACTTGGAAGGCTGAAGCGGAAGGATCGGCAGAGCATAGCAGATCAGGGCTATAGTGGCCGGGAGTGGCCACTGCACTCCAGTCTGGTCGACAGAGTGAGACTCCAACTCAAAAAAAAAGAAAGAAGTTGGGCCGGTGTGGTGGCTCACACCTATAATCCCTATACTTTTGGAGGCGGAAGTAAGAGGATTACCTGAGCCCATGAGTTTGAGACCAGCCAGGGCAACTTGGCAAGACCTCATCTCTACAGTAAATCAAAACAATTAGTCAGGCATGGTGGTGCACACCTGTGGTTCCAGCTACTTGGAAGGCTGAGGTAGCAGGATTGCCTGAGCCCAGCAGGTCTAGGCTGCGATAGTGGTCATGAGTGTGTCACTGCACTTCAGCCTGGGTGGCAGAGTGAGACTCAGACTTAAATAAAATAAAAATGAAAAAAAAAGTTGGACCAGGCATGGTGTTTCATGCTTGTAACCTCAGCACTTAGGGTGACCGAGATAGGAGGATACTTTGAGTCCAGGAGTTCAAAACCAGCCTGGACAACATAAGACTCTGTCTCTACAGAATAAAAATAAATAATTTTTTTAAAGAAATAAGAATTTTCAGCCGGGCTCGGTGGCTCAGCCTCTTCGAGACCCGCCTGGGCAACTTGGCGAGACTGCATCTCTACAATAAATCAAAAAATCAGCCAGGGGTGGTAGCACGCGCCTGTAGTTCCGGCTACTTGGAAGGCTGAGGCAGAAGGATCACCAGAAAAAAGAAAGAAAGAAATAAGAATTTTCTTTCTGGTTGCTCTTTTTTTTTTTTTTTAGTTGGAGTCTCACTCTGTCGCCCAGACTGGAGTGCAGTGGCCACTCCCGGCTACCACAGCCTCGACCTGCTGGGCTCCGGCGATCCTTCCGCCTCAGCCTTCCAAGTAGCTGGAACCACAGGTGTGCACCACCACGCCTGACTAATTTTTTTCCTTCCAAGTAGCCGGAACTACAGGCGCATGCTACCACACCCGGCTGATTTTTTGATTTATTGTAGAGATGCAGTCTCACCAAGTTGCCCAGGCGGATCTCGAACCCGCGGACTCAGGCAATCCACTCATCTCAGCCTCCCAAAGCACGGGATTACAGGCTGAGCCACCGAGCCCGGCTCTGGTTACTCTTTTATAGACTTAACTGATATGAATATCTCAAAGTAGTTCATATCAGTTATCTATAAAACATACATATATGTTTTTTAAGTCTATAAAATACATATATATATATTTTTTTTTAATTGTAGAAACGAGTCTCACCAAGTTGCCCAGGTTGGTCTCAAACGTCTGAGCTCAGGCAGTCCTCCTCAGCCTCCCAAAGTGCTGGGATTACAAGCTTGAGCCACCATGCCTGGCCTATATATTTTTTTTATTCAGAGTCTCACTCTGTCACCCAAGCTGGAGTGCAGTGGCACAATCACAGCTACCACAGCCTCAACCTCCTAGGTTCAGGTGATCTTTCCATCTCAGCCTCCTGAGTAGCTGGGACTGACTAAAGATACATGCCACCACCATGCCTGGCTAATTTTTTAATATATTGTAGAGACAGGGTTTCACCATGTTGCCCAGGCTGGTCTTGAACTCCTGGGCTCGGGCATTCCTCCCACTTCGGCCTCCCAAAGTGCTGGGATTACAGGCATGAGCCACTGCACCTGGCCCATTTGTTATATTAACACATTCACGACCGGCAAATTTTTCACTTTCCTAATACTGAGAGCAGGTGAAAATTTTTTAAAATCTTAAGCTGGTTGCCACAAACTTCTGTTGTTAAGCACAAGTGAAATTGTCACCTTTTTCACAATACAGCTAAAAGTTGCAGACATATCTAGTATTTGCCTCAGACACCACTCTAACTAGCATTCTGTACTTTGTATTTTTATTCAGATTATAAACCCGAAAAGACAGTCTTCCACGATAGGTAAATTCACATCAGCAGCAACCAGAACAGAATCTGGAATGATGTAAATTCACGTTAGCAGTCACAAATGAGTTAATTGAAGCACTTAAACAGGGATGTCACAATGCAGATGTCAGATACAGAAACCAAAATTCTGCCGGGATTTATGCTTGGAAAACAATTTTGGTATTTAACCCAAACTGCATACAATTCAGATTTAACATCCTTTAAAAAGTATTTCTCAGCCAGACGCAGTGGTTCATACCTGCAGCCCCAACACTGTCAGAGGGGAAGGCAGGAGGATCACTTGAGCCGAGGAGTTCAAGACCAGCCTGGACAACATAGCAAGACCCTGTCTCAAGACAGTCTTATCCTGGAAACGTAATATGCCTTTGATTATTCCTCTTGCTCTTTTTAATCTCTAGAGCAAGGATTCTTTAACGTTAAACCTGGACAATATGGATTAACAGATACCAGTGCAACATCCTCCCCTGGGTTCTTAAAACATTTCCCAAGGATAAAAAATTGGGAAAGGGAGACAAGTAGTAAAAAGACACTATCATAACTCCCCTTTTCTAATGTTCTTCATCTTTGGCCATAAAATCTCTGCATTGAATGCCCGATATTCTTTATGAAAATAATGGAGATTCCTGACCTCACAAGTTTCTCTGTCCTATGCTTTTCCAGCCTTCTCCCCATTTCACATTGTTTAGTTTTTTGAGTTTTGTTTGTGACATATCTTTTTTTCCCTGATAAATAAATTTCTTAATTGCAGGTATATTTGCCATAAGATTTGGGTGATATCAGACTCTCTTTTTTTTTTCTTCAATTAGGAACTTGGTCAGCAAAGTAGACACTGTCATCTGGGTTTTTCCTTAGTGAAATAGCTGAAATAAAGGTACAATTGTTCAGAGCCTCATTTCAGGCATCATTACTTTAAGTAAGCGTCACTGTGTTAATCTGGAAAACCATTGGTTTGCCTCTTCTGCGGCTTCCTTACAACAGCTATTTTCTACACTGTCATGTTGCAATAGCAGGGCCACTACTGCAATGCAGACTAAGAGCGTGCTTGAGTGTTGCTGTTCATCCTGAATATCAGCTTTCAGAGACATCCAGAGAGCTCGATCACTACAGGCTGCACTGCCTGAATCTTGTGACTCTGAGAAATCAACGGGGAAAACATATAGATCAAATACCCAATTCTACATTCACCATTTTTGCTCTACATAAACCACTTAAAACCCTAACATCTGCATTGTCAATCTCTACAATCATAACAAAGAGACTTATATTTTGATGATTTTGAAGTAATGTCTATATAGTCTACATGAGCAAAAAGTAATTTCTTCTTAGTTTTCTACTATGAGTTTACCTATTATAGTTAAGCCAGAAGTTTCTTGGACAAGGAGTATTAGGGGGAGCCATTTATAGAATGAGGCTGAGCTACACCCCTTTGACTTTAAGAGATGCAGAGAACTGACAAATCCCTTAACTTTTGTTCCACAGAATCATCCTGATGTCGCAAACAAATTGGCTACTTGTCCCTTCAATGCTCGCCACCAGGTTCCTCGTGCCGAAATCAGTCATCATATCTCAAGCTGTGAAGACAAAAGTTGTATCGAACAAGATGTTGGTAAGACTGATTAGCTAAAATGTTTGAGTACTAGAGGTTAACCCCTTCAGATTTATATTACGCTACATAACCAGCTTGACTTTTGCCTTTTATCGTTTCAGAAGAACAATACTTCTCCACCTTTGAGATTTTTATCTCATAGCAAAAATAGGTTGTCAGGTTGTGTGTGTCAGACTGCTTTCTCTTCTGAACTGGCTAGTTCATTTTACTAATAGTTCATCTAAAAATAAAAATTCTGGCCAGGTACAGTGGCTCACACCTGGAATCCCAGCACTTTGGGAGGCCAAGACAGGAGGATTGCTTGAACCCAGGAGTTCGAGACCAGCCTGGGCAACATAGCAAGACCTCATCTCTACAGAAAAGCAAAAAAACCAGCTGGGCATGGTGGCACATGCCTGTTGTCCTAGCTTCTTGGGAGGCTGAAGCAGAAGGATTGCCTGAGTCCAGGAGGTCGAGGCTGCAGTAAACTGTGATTATGCCACTGCACTCCAATTAAAAAAAGAAATATAAATTCTTCGATTGCCATAAATATGGTAAACATATTTGTTCCTGCTTCTTTTTCTTCTGTCAGCAAAGAGATAAGATTCCTCTGTTTAGCTTTTATACTATCCATTTTTCAGAATCAAAGACCTACTAGGCTACCTTGCAATCTTTTTTTTTCTTTTTTTTGAGTTGGAGTCTCACTCTGTCGCCCAGACTGGAGTGCAGTGGCCGCTCCCAGCCACCGCAGCCTTGACCTGCTGGGCTCTGGCGATCCTTCCACCTCAGCCTTCCGAGTAGCCGGAATTACAGGCGCGCGCTACCACGCCTGGCTGATTTTTTGGTTTTATTGTAGAGATGAGGTCTCGCCTGCCCAGGCGGGTCTCGAACCTGAGGGCTCAGGCAATCCACTCACCTCAGCCTCCCAAAGGCGCAGGATTACAGGCTGAGCCACCAAACCCAGCAGCCTCATAATCTTTTAAGCTACTAACCCCTTTAAACACAATAACCTGGCAGTATCCCCTTCTTATGTCAAATCTCTATCGTGTTGTAGTCAACCAAACCAGGAACTTTGGACAAGAGACTCTGGCTGAGAGCACATGGCAGTGCCCTCCTTGCGATGAAGACTGGGATAAAGGTGAAGTGCTTCTACATCTTTTTCTTTGCAATGTCTAAATCTCAAGTCATTTGCTTAAGACAGAAGGAAGATTTTCCTTTTTTATGAACACACCATGTTGTTTGGAACGCCTTATTATTTTTATTGGGCCCCAAAACGAGCACATTTGTATCATTGTGCAGACACGTGGAACAGCCGATCCCTCTTGATTGGAAAAAGCAGTTCGTTACATCTGTTTTTTTTCCATAAATTGTGTCATACCATCTGTGTTTGATTGTTACTAGGCACGTTTATTATTATTTATGTTGCTTGTGTTTATATCCTTCGATTAAATTCCTGCTACTGTGCCACTTAGGCAGGGTACTTGATCAATTTTTACTTGCTTTTCCAAACTTAGGTATATTATTTCCTGTCTTACAAATTCGACTAACATGAACTGGTGTTTTTTCTAGTAGTACCACAAACTGCGTTTTGTTTCCTTTGGCAGATGTGTGGGAAGATACAAGCACTCCATTTGTCTGGGGGACAGCTAACTATTGTGGCAACAACAGGTAAAGAAAATGGTCCCATTCCCAACACTACCTCCCCAAATCAGAGTGTTCTGTTACCCAAAAAGGAGCCACCAAAGCATGAATTGACCTTTTTCCTTGATAATGTTCCGTGGTGGTAGCTTAGTTTAGACATTTTGGCGGTGTTTTTTAATTTATTCTTTGATTCATAAAAAGGTCATGTGCTTTTTGCTAATCACTAGGGATGCAAAAATACTACCTTATAGTGCAGCAAGGGAATCCAGACATTCTTGTGTCTCTGTTGGGTTTTGTGCTAGATTTACATTACTTTAATGCTGTGAAAAACTCTCTGGCTATAGCACTTGAATCATTTTTATTCTAGGTAACTACATCTGAGGAAAAAGGTAGTCTTAAAAGTTATTTCACCCAGGCTCGGTGGCTCAGCCTGTAATCCCGTGCTTTGGGAGGCTGAGGTGAGTGGATTGCCTGAGCCCATGGGTTCAAGACCCATCTGGGCAACTTGGCAAGAACTCATCTCTAATAATAAATCAAAAAATTAGCCGGGCATGGTAGCACGCACCTGTAGTTCCAGCTACTTGGAAGGCTGAAGCTGAAGGATTGCCAGAGCCCAGCAGGTCGAGGCTGCGGTGGCCTGGAGCGTGCCACTGCACTCCAGTCTGGGCGACAGAGTGAGACTCCAACTCAAAAAAAAAAAAAAAAAGTTCTTTATTTGAGATTGGGAGATCCAGAGTACCTATTAGGAAAGAGAATGCATCTCTTCTTTCCACTAATTGTGGATCTAATTTGAAACTGTAAGATTTCTCCTTCCTACCAAAGACTCAAACCTTGGAAGATCAAGTTTCAAACCCAAATGAGAGTATTTCTGAATTGGGAAATGAAAGAATAAGTTGCTAGACTTCATTTTTTTCCCCAAATAGAATGTTTATCGATTTTTAAAGCATATACTATTTTAAATGCTGTAAGATAGAAAAACTTAAAACTTCCATCGGTTATAGCTTTAATTTTACCTTAGTTTGAGTTTTGCTGCGTTGGGTTGGTTGTCTTGGCATTTTATTTATCTCTTATGTTTATTGAGTTGATGAGCCTGTCATATAACTGAACAGTAGATGGCATTGCTGTTTATCTCAATTTCTAGAAAATGAAAAAAAGTAGACCCATCTTAATGCCTGTGCAGAACAGGGAGCTTTCCAGAGAAATGGTAATCATTCTAATTGCAGAACATTTTGATGGAAATGTGTTTACATTTCAGATGAATGTAGGTTGTTGTTTTCCCCCAAATTACAAAAAACACATTTTGATTGTCTTGCATGTGCCTGCCTGAATAATACAGATTTGCCGACATAGTCAAATTCATTTTTCTTTTTCTAGCCCTGCAAGCAACATAGTTACAGAACGTAAGAGTAACCTGGCTTCAGGCATGCGAGTTCCCAAATCTCTGCCATATGTTCTGCCATGGAAAAAGAGTAAGTGAAATGGAGGCAGCATACCTTTATTCTTTTCATTGTGCCAAATACAGTTGGTCTCGATTATTCAGATATATTCAGTCTGAACACCTTGCACTTGCTTGACCCTAAAAGTGAGTGTGACTCTAAGTTTTGTTCACCAAACCCTAGTTATGAACAAGAAATTATGAACAGGGAAGTACAAGATCACAGAAGCCAGCAGAATATTTTCAAGGTGGGGTGACCACTGACATCAAATACCATGAATAAAAGTGGGAAACAGTGAAAAGGAGTGTTGACTTGGGCTAGGAGGAAGTCATCCCTGATTTTTTTTCAATGCCTCATATCAGTAAAGAGTTGGGATCAGAAATTGGGTTGCAGGAGTCCAAAGGGAAATGAGTAGAGAGAAAATGAAAGTAATAAGTCATAAGATCCAGCATGAAGAGTGGTATTCAGATGTCTTCCCTAGACATCAGAAACCATGCAGAGTTTTAGTTACTAAATTTGTATCATACTTCTCTAATAAAGAAACTTCCACATCAGCATGCCCAAGATTTTGTCATTTTTATTTAATATAAATTTTCTTTTCCTAATGTTGCCCCAAAATTCAAAGTCTCTTGATTTCAGCCTTGGCTACTGTTTGAGCTAATTTTGGGGTAGCTAGAGAATTCCCTTTAAAAACATTTCTCTTTGGATACTTGCAAGTCCCAAAAAATGAGGTCACCAGATTTATATGTCAAAAGACTTGATAGATGAAGGACTGCTTTCATTTCCCGTGCTTTTAAATGGAATCTAATCACTAATTTTAAATTCTTCTACTTTTATATTGCAATTCAGTATACCTAAGAATAAGTCATTTGTGTTTAGTGAGAATAGGGGTGGAGTGAATTTCAATTGACATGGTGTATTTATTTTGAAATATTTCTACTCATAGATGGAAATGCCTAGTAACTGAACATCTATCTCATCAAGTAAGTGTTTCAGTTTTATTTCACTATCTCTTCAGATGACAGCAAGATTTAACTGGACATAAAGCAATTTGGGTCCAATTTTCTTTCAGATTATGGTACCAAATTAAAGCTGTGTGTGTGCATGTGTCTTTTAAGTATATAGCCTCTGTTATGGCTCACACTAATGAATAGGCATTTGCTGGTTAAATTAGAATTCTGTTGACATGCCAAGTTGTTTTCCCCAACATTAGTACACATTGCCTTTTTTTTTTTTTTATCAAAGTTGCATTCTAGATCTATCATGCCTCTTTTAATGGACTGAGATTAATCAGACAGCTGTGCTTCACTGCTCTGCAATTCATTCCCAGTGCAGTACAGTTTAATACTCATCAAAAATTTCATACTCTTTTTAATGAGCACTTTAAAGTTTTGGGTTTCCAAGAGTCTCACACTGCTGATCTTATCTGAGTATCTGATTTAATAGAACCTCACAAAATCTCTGTGAAGAGATCCAGATCCCCCACTGTTCACTGAAGCCTTTCCTCAGGTCACCCTGTATGCCCATGGCAGAGCTTCAGAAATGGCCTTCAGATATTGTCCTGACTGAGGTTGCCCAGCCACACTGCTCTTAGCCAAGGGTATGTTACAAAGGCTGGGAGTGGGATTCTATCCCAGCTGTCTTGCAGATAGTTGACCCTCAGTGAACATTTGTTGAATTAATGAATAACTGGCCTCTTGTGTTGTCGATTCACACTGGACGTGAACAGATAAATCTGTGAGTTGGGGTTCATTTTGTACTAAAACTGATGTTTCTTCTGAGAAGCAGAAAAGAGATGCTAAAAATAAACACTCCTTAGCTATAGACAGTAATGTTTATCAGTTGCCTCTAAGTACCAACTATTTTTCTTGATGGGTTCTGACATCAAATTGTTAAATGCACCTGGAAGCCAGAAAATGGGATTTGGTCCCAGGAGGAAAAGAGACAAAACACTGGGGTGCATCAGGAAAGCATACATTGGGTGAGGTAGTACACACCTATAGACCCAGCTACTCAAGAGACTGAGGCAGGAGGATCACTTGAGCCAAGAAGTTTGAGGCTGTGGTGCCTGTGAATAACCACTGTACTCTAGCTTGTACATAGTGAGACCCCATCTCTAAACAAAGGTGGGGAGAAGGGAAAGCTTACATTACATGGACTTGGATACATGGTGAACTTCTCTCTGATGTGCTATACAAGATGTGTGGTGACAACAGAGTGAGACTCCAGCTCCAAAAAAAAGTGTGATTATACAGTATGGATAGCTATTTACCAAAAATGGCTACCTTAAGAAGAAAAAAACCTAGGAGAAACTTTTATCTCTATATCTATAACTTAAGATTAGACATTTCTCTTCTTTTGAACTTAACTCTTTGTTGTTAAGCTCCTTACACACTGAAATTTATTTTTCTGTATAATCCCTAAGGAATCAGGAAAAAAAAATTATCCTAGATTAGATATGAATCCTTAAGCAGGTACTGACCTCCTTAACCTCTTAAAAATGAAGCATCATTATTTTGAATGCCTATTGTTGCAGAATTCTTCAGCTTCTTTGGAAGGATACAAAGAAAATTAAAGACTTGAGTGTTCTGTTAAGGAACTTAAGTGTAGGTGGATGTTTTTTGAATGTACATAAGGAGTTTGTTCACTTAGCACTTAATATGCTTAATCCCATTTGTGGTTTTAATCAACAACTCCACTTTTTACAAAACACATACCTCAAAAGCAGGTAATATGTTAATTTGTATCCCTTAATGTACAGTATAAAAGTTCAAGAAAGCCGGGCTCGGTGGCTCAGCCTGTAATCCCATGCCTTGGGAGGCTAAGGTGAGTGGATTGCCTGAGCCCGCGGGTTCAAGATCCGCCTGGGCAACTTGGTGAGACCTCATCTCTACAATAAATCAAAAAAAATTAGCAGAGCATGGTAGCGCATGCCTGTAGTTCCAGCTACTTGGAAGGCTGAGGTGGAAGGATCACCAGAGCCCAGCAGGTCGAGGCTGCACTGCACTCCAGTCTGGGCAACAGAGTGAGACTCCAACTCAAAAAAAAAAAAAAAAAAAAGTTCAAGAAAATATTGTTGAATTAATGAGTAAATAGAGTATATGAGAAAGGGATCAAAATAAGTTCATTGGAATTAATCCAGAATTGTCTGAATGAGTCCACTACCGGGATAGTTAGTTCTGATGTTCTCACTTGTACAACTGTTGACAGGAGTATACATCGATGTCTGCATAGAATGTTTTCAATTCAATTAACACATTTCTGTGTGCTCAGTGGTACTAAAGCGCTCAGGGTCGGAAGGTACTTGCTGTTTTGCCATTAACAAAAGCAGATTCCTCCAGCAGACTAGGGGTTGTAAGGTATGGTTGTGGGGGTCCATTGTCAGATGTAGTTGGTGCTTTTGTCATTGAAGGGAACTAAGAACTTTTTTTTCCCATTTCCTTGCAGATTCCAAACCCTAGAAGACTTTTGCTTCTTCCTGCTACCAATGGGTTCTTCGTTTTTCTCCTAACCTAATTAAAGAACAATAAACTCTGTGACTTTCAAACTAACAAGTACCTTTTTTCTCCCCCTTTTGACTTCTCATTTGATGCAAGAGCCCTCATACTCAGAAGCTTTCAAATAAACCATCAGAGTAGATAGCATAATAGTTTGGTTAAGTACCTGCAACCCCAAGATCAGAGATCACACCTAATTCCACGTTAATGAATCATAATGATTTAAAGTTATCTTAATCCATCTAAAGTAGACAGGAAACTTGGGTTGGAAAACGTGTATATTTGTGTTCTCTAACACACATGGATCAAATTATTATTACTTTTTTTTTTTTTTAGAAAGCAGGATTTTATTGAGAGTACTGAAAAGCTCCCACAGTGGGAGGGGACCCAAAGAGGTAGCCCCTGGATCAAGTTATTTTTAACATTTATAAAAATGGACTTTTTCTGATTGATGCATCTGTTTAATCCAGAGTCTCTGAAATGTTGATAACATTTATATAGCAAAATACCTCCTTATTTAGAATCTTTAGGACATCTTGCTACCCGAATATTTCCAACTTAGGGTAAGTTTGTTTTATGTGTCTCCCCACATTCCATCTAGAAATTGTACTAGTTGTCAAACTAGGTGTGGATTATGTAGGAATGAAGATTGGAATGAAGGAACCAGTGTACATGTGGAGAAGACATGGGCTTTCCACCTGGGTGTGAAATTTGATTCTACTGCAAAGCTTAAATGTGTGAGGGCCCTGCTGACTACCCTGGGATATGTGTATAATCAGCTAGATTTCTAAAACACTCAAAGCTCTGGCTATCCTAGCATTTGTGGACCCTTACAAACCAGTTTTTGGTTTGTTTGGATTATTTCTGGTTTTTTGATTGGTTGTTCTCAGGTTTGGTTTGGTTTTAAAACTGTCTAGCATGAGGGAGGGGAATTGGGATATGGTATAGACAGGATAAAGAATAGTGACAGATATTTCCACAAAAAACAAAAAACTTTTCTAGCATTGTTTTCGGGTGACAGATAAGAAGGGAGAGTGAGCCATTTGGAATACTTCCTTCCAAGAGTTTTGCACAAAAAAGGGTTCTCCCCTAATAAAGCAGAGCTGTCTGTTTACTTTGTTCCAACCTCTAAAAGCAGGTTCAAAATAAGCCCCAGTACAAAGTATTTCTGCTTCTAGCCTCAAGACTATTCTGGAAAAAGTGGTGGCATATTGAGCAAAAAAACCACCTCTATGCCCCCTCATTCTGATCGTTATTTCTGATCGTTCAACACTTCACAACAATATTATTTTAAAGTAGTCATATTACTGGAAAATACAAAACACTTTTTGTTTATTTGGGGGATGACAGGACAAAACTGTATTTTATAGTACATAATATTATAGACTTATAATCCAAACTCCTACATAGTTTAGGAAAAATAGTAGTATGAGTCTTATTGCAAAGACTCAAGTTACTTGAATACGACTTAATAAAGGAATTAAGTAGAAAATAATGTGTTTTTTAAATATCTAAGGTGACAAGGTAAGCATTCATGAATAACCTTATTTTGTTTTTTTGTTGTTTTTTGTTTGTTGGTTGGTTGGTTTGTTTTGAGTCAGAGTCTCACTCTGTCGCCCAGACTGGAGTGCAGTGGCCGCTCCCGACCACCACAGCCTTGCCTGCCGGGCTCCGGCGATCCTTCCGCCTCAGCCTTTCGAGTAGCCAGAATTACAGGCACGCGCTACCATGCCCGGCTGATTTTTTTTATTTATTGTAGAGATGAGGTCTTGCCAAGTTGCCCAGGCGGGTCTCAAACCCGCGGGCTCAGGCAGTCCACTCACCTCAGCCTCCCAAAGCGCGGGATTACAGGCTGAGCCACTGAGCCCGGCTTATTTTGTTATTTTAGAAGGAGATCCCTTTGCTCATGACTTCTAGAACTTAACCACAAAACATCTGGCCTTTTGGTGTGTAGCACTCACTATAAAAGGATATCTACCCGTGTTAATTTTGTTAGCTCACAAAATAGTTGTTTCTTTAGTAAACTAATTATTAAAGCCACCAATTTGTCTGGTTCACAAACTTTAAGAGTGTGCTTAGGATTTTTATTGGACCTAAGATTTGCTGGTCTGGATTTAGTTTGCTGGAAATTTTTGGAGATTTCCAAAAACTAGTACAAACAAATGACTCTCTATCTCTACTACATCTGTCGGGATCTTGGAGAGGAAACTCACTTATCTTTGGGAACTTCTTTTTCAGGGGATGCTTTTCCCTTGGAATGTGAACAGTGGAAAGTAAACAGGCTGGGTGCAGTGGCCCATGCCTGTAATCCCAGCACTTTGGGAGGTGGGGGTGAGAGGATTGCCTGAGCCCATAACCTCAAGACCAACTTGGGTAACTTGGCAAGACCTCATCTCTGCCATAAATCAAAAAAATTAGCCAGGCATGGTGATGCGCAGCTGTGGTTCCAGCTACTTCGAAGGCTGAGGCAGAAGGATTACCTGAGCCCCGCAGGTCGAGGCTGCGGAGGCCATGAGTGTACCACTGCCCTCCAGTCTGGGCAACAGTGAGACTCCGAATAAAAAAATAAAAAAAAAAAAAAGGAAAGTAAACAGTTGAATATTCTGTCCCAGCCTCAAAGTCAAGTGTTAATGGTTAAAGGTTAAATGTAGAGGTGATTCAAAATCTTAGCTCAGAAAACTGGGCTTTAAGTCCTGCCTTTTAGTCTTATCCAGGGTTTCCACACTCTACCCCAAGGAGATGATTTGCTTTTGGAAGATTGCCTTTCTCTGTAGGGTTTCTAGAATTGCCATTGTGATTTGCAAATGTTCTCACCAGGAAAAAGCAAATGTAGGTGATAAGTGATGTTTAACTCTCCTGGTGGCTGTATCTGAGCTAAACAAGAAGAGAATTTGGACATATTTTCAAGTCATGCACTGCAGTCCCCTTCCATTGGTGAGGCTGCTGGTGGTGGTATCCCAAACAAAATGTATACAGTATGTAATGCCGGCCTTCTTGGATTCCGTTCACTGTACTTTCATGCAAAGCTCCAAAATAGGCAAAAACTGAGGAGGTAACATACTTTTACCATTTTTAAAGAGACAGTTTATACAAATCAAGTCTATTTGTATACTATATTTTAAATGATCAAAACTGGATTGGCCTTGGGAAGAAGAGAACTTTACAAAAATGCGCGTTTTCATATGCCAATTCAATGGGTAAGATGAGGAAATACTAACTGAATTCCATGAGGAAAATACTGTAACAATTACTCATCCTTTGAATCACTGTCTTCCTGATACTGTTGAGGCTCAGGACATACATCTGACTTTACAGTGCTGGCCACTGAAGACACATCCATTTGCTACCTCACACCCCCTCTCAGCTTACTTTCTATTCCAGTAATACCAAGGGTGATAAATGCAAACCTGTGTATGAACAAGGCCTTTGCCTTTTACGCACAAGTCACTGTACGCTCCAAATCAACTCTTAAAAACTTAGTAGCAGCCGGACTCGGTGGCTCAGCCTGTAATCCCGTGCCTTGGGAGGCTGAGGTGAGTGGATTGCCTGAGTCTGCGGGTTCAAGACCCGCCTGGGCAACTTGGTGAGACCTCATCTCTACAATAAATCAAAAAATTAGCCAGGTGTGGTAGCATACACCTGTAGTTCCAGCTACTTGGAAGGCTGAGGTGGAAGGATCGCCGGAGCCCAGCAAGTCGAGTCTGCGGTGGCCGGGAGCAGTCACTGCATTCTAGTCTGGGCGAGAGTGAGACTCCAACTCAAAAAAAAAAAAAACCTGGTAGCAAGGGAGACAAATGAAACATAAGATTGTTTCAACCAGGCAGGCATGGTGGCTCATGCCTGTAATTCCAGCACTTTAGGAGACCAAGATAGGATGACTTGAGCCCAGAAGTTCAAGGGGAGCCTAGGCAACATAGGAAGATCTCACCTCTACAAAAAAAATTTAAAAGTTAGCCTGGCATGGTAGTACACACCTGCAGTTCCAACTATTCAGGAGGCTGAGGCACAAGGATTGCCTGAGCCCAAGGAGGTCAAGGCTGTGGTGAGTCACGATTGTGCCACTGCACTCCAGCCTGGGCAACAGAGTGGGATCCCAAATTACCAAAAAAAAAAAAAAAAAAGATTATAGCTAGGAAGAATGGCATCCTGGGCCAGACAGTAACCCAAAGAACGCTATTTGGTCAGCAGATTTGCATTTATGTTTATCTTATTTACAGTCTTTTATGTGAAACTAAAATCTGAGGAATCTGAAACTAGAATCTGTGGTATGTGAAACTAGAATCTGAGGAAACCCAACAAAGACAAGCTTAGTTTTTATATATTGTAAGTAGGTTATAAATCTGGGCTGTATGAAAAAAACTAATGCTTATGAACCCAACCATGCCAATTAATTTTTATTAGACTACTTGTCACTGAAATAAAGTATGCCTTCCAAGTTTGTCTGTTTCCATTCTGTTTCTTCAGACATGAGTTTGAGGTTCACACTGGATAGGATCAGGGGCTAAGATTTCACTCCTTGCAGTTGGTTTTCTCTAGAGGAGCTCTTTATAGCAGAGGTGCAAATTGAAAGTGATGGAAAGTCTTGTTCTTAAGATTAGAAATTCCATTGAGATATCCTTTTGTTGAACTGGAGATCTCGACAGAGGAGTCAATGTTTTAGCTTCATAAAACTCCTGAAAAATAAACATGGATGTGGGTCCACAAGGTATGTAACTTTGATATTCACTGATCACTGTCTCATAGAGAGTTGGAAGGGGGCCCAGAAAGTACCTGATACAAAGCACATCTCACCTCTGAAGAAACAGACACTGTGCAAATGTGAAGCATGGCATTTTTATTAAAAAGAAAGAGAATGATAAGCACAAAGGTCAAGATAGTGGTAATCGCCAGGCGCCGTGGCTCATGCCTGTAATCCCAGCACTTCTGGGAGGCGGAGATGAAAGGATTACCTGAGCCCACGGGTTCGAGACCAGCCTGGGCAACTTGGTGAGCCTTCATCTCTACAATAAATCAAAAAGTTAGCTAGGTGTGGTGGCACACACCTGTAGTTCCAGCTATTTGGAAGGCTGAGGTAGAAGGATTGCCTGAGCCCAGCAGATCAATGCTGCAGTGGCCACGAGCATGCCACTGCACTCCAGCCTAGATGACAAAGTGAAACTCCAACTCAAAAAAAAAAAAGAAAGATAATAGTAATCCCCAGGATCGAGACCAGGGTTATGGGATCAGGAGGAAACACAGGGTGGTAGTAGTGTTTGGTAAGTTGGA